CTCAGTTACTTCATCTGTTAAATATGCTGCTAATAATAGTACCTATCTCATAGGGCTGAAATAAGAATTAAGATTTAAGTAAAAAACACTTAAAACAGTAGCTGTGTATGTACATATGTATTTATTTAAAGCCTTTGCCATATTGGTTGATTGGCTAAAAAATAAAGTAGGTTTACTAGAATTTGGTAGATGCATGAATAAGTCCAAAATTAGATATTAAGAATAATTCACATTTTAAGGTTGCATCTTAACTGGCCTTGCACAGCTATTTTGATGCCATGGTTAGAGATGGGGAAATTGACTGGTTAGATCAGCGCATTGAACCCAAAAAAGTACTTGTTCTGTTTTAACTAAGATGTTTCAAACAGAAAATTATGCCATACCCCTTTCTTGTCGCCCACATTGAAATAATAAGCACATCATCCTCGCTTCATTTCCTGTACTAATTTGTCCTAAATATAAAACTCTTCATTTGGTAATTGAAAAGTTTGGCTTCAAGTAATAGAAACAAGCCCAAGCTAATTGAATTAAGAAGATCTTTGGCCAAGAGAAGTAACTATTGAGATATACATCTTGTTTTTCTAACCAAATGCTCCTATTCCAGGATCTGAGTGGGCCTTAATCTGTTTACCTGGCTGGAGCTGCCCAGTTTTCAGAACACTTTACTTTTCTGGCAGCAGGAAGTGTGATGAATGTTGTTGTTATTGCTGCTTTTAATGATAAGTCTGTGGTTATTATTCTTACTATAAACAAAGGTCTGTAAAGACCCTAGGCCAGATTGTTACAAGGAACTTATTTTATTATTCTATCATTTTTGTTCCGAATCTTGGATCTTTCATTGGGGAACGAAAAATGTTACTTTCAAATCAAGTACTTATAACCACGTTGGTAATAGAAACTGCTTGATAAAAATGTACTCTATTTCAATTAAGAGAGGTTTTAATGCTGGCATTTTTCAGTGACAAATTAAAATAGGACCTTTTAAAGTTACATTTAACATGCTCCTTTAAAATAGTTTGTTCTATTAAAATGAGGTCAAAGAGCATTCCAAACATTACTTTTTTTTAGTTCGATATCTTTCCATTTCAAACCTATAAAATGGGGAGTTTTCCTTACCCTGACTGTACATAGTTCTCCTTTTCTTTATAGTTCCTCATTGCTTTTCATTAACCTGAGTCTCATGCTCAATCTGTAGTATGTACCTAATAATCCTTGCCTCCTATGTCTGCCTGCCTTTTTTTGGGACTTGTCTCTATTTGTCTGCTGTTCTAGCATCTTTAGTCTAAGTTGCTTCTTTTCATTCAGTTTCACTGTTACTACAAGTCATAATTCTCTCTACAATTGACCAGCCTCTCTCTTCCTTTCTAGACCTTGACAATTTTCTTGAAATACCACACTCACTGTATCTGCATTCTCATCACTTACCTTTTGATCCTCGACTTCTGATTACCATCTGCAACTCTGATGAAATTGTTCTCTCAGATGTCTTTAATGACTTCATCATCACATTCAACAGGCTTTTTTCTTTGCTGCTTCATCCTCTTCTTCACTATAGCACTTAACACAGTAGACTGTGTGTCCCTCCTTGAAATTCTCCCTTTGGCTTCCAAGGCACTGGGCTCTCCAAGTTCTTGTTCTATATCATATACTACTTCTATTCTACGTTCCTAGATAACTTGTCCTGCACTTCTTATCTTTGGAATATAGTCATTTGCCTGTACTATTCAGCTGCTTTCCCTACTTTTCTCTTGGTATTCTCATCTACTATTCTTTCAGCGTCCTCCTCTATACTTTCAACTCTCAAGTCTTGTATTTAGCTACCTCTTATCTCAGTTCTGTGTAGTCCCAGGTAGTCTAGCTAGTCCTAAAGTCATCTATCTCATCTCATTGCTTTTCTTAGGATCAGTCTTCTTGTCACCAAGGCTGATCAGAGTTGCTGAGTTCAACCATTTCTACCTCTTGTACCGTCACATGCCATATATTCCATTTCACAAGTTATAAGCATTATTTTATGTTTTTCTCTTTTATCAAAATATAATGAATACTTCGGGTAAGATGCATATTAAATACACAGATTAATTAATGTATATATACATATATACTGCATATATATTTATAGTGTATAAAAATATATACCTGTGTAAACTCTACCCAATTCAAAATATAGAATGTTTCCAATTCTGTATCAGGCCTCCTTTGTGTGATCTTCAGCTGATATCTACTTTCCTCCCGGCTAAGTACCATTTGATCTTTATTATCATAGATCAATTTCACTTATTTTGAATTTCATGTAAATAAGCTCTCATTAATCAAAATTCAGCTTCATATAAATGGAATTTACATTGCCACCAGAAGTATAGGCAAGTTCTTGTACCTTCCTCATTTACACATGTTATTATCCATATTAAGATAACCTTTTTGGTAGGGCTGTAATATTATTGCATAGCTTTAATTTACATTTTCCTGCTGATGAGTAATGTTAAGCTCTTGTTTCACATGTTTATTTGGATATCCTCTTTGATGAAATATCTCCAAAGTGTCTGTCCTTTTATGTTGGATTATCAGTCTTTATTTTAAATTCCACTTGTATGACTTCTGTACATCATCTGGATGACAGTATTTTGTTGGTTTATATCTGCATATATGTATATATGCAGATATTCATCTCCCAATCTGTGACTTGCCTTTTCAGCCAATAATGTTGTATTTTCATTAACAAAAGTTATTAATTTTAATAAAATTCAATTTATTAATCTTTCATGATTGGTGCTTTTTGTGTGTCCTTTTCAATAACTCTTTACCTACTTTGATACTGTGAAGATAAAATGAGGTACATAGAAATTAAGTAGTCTGTATCAATATTATATGACTGTTTATTGTCTTTAAAACATTGATTCTTATCCTCTTTGCATATGGCTGTCTAACTGTTGGGGCAACCCTGTACAGACAAGGGGCCTAACTCTGTCCCCTGATTTCTGGGCACTGCCTAAGATAGGGATTCTGACACGTGCACAGTGCCTTGGTTTGAACTCCACTCCAAATGTCCTGAGTGAGGGGGCAGTTGGGAAGGGCATGAAGCTGAGTGGCTGTTTTGAACCTTTAAAAGGGTGTGAGGCACTTGGCCTCCTGCTCTGTCTCCTTTTTATTGGGGTTGAAGAGGCAACCCCACCAGACTTCTTGAAATCCCTCCCCAGGAATGCCCTGATCGTCAGTAGCAGCCAGCCTCTGCTCCATACTGCTCTGGTTCTATAGCTCCAACTCTGCTTTGTATGATGAGTCGATAACTGGACCTACCTCTCCCTACCATGTTGTTTAGAATAAATTGTTAGGGTTTTCCCCTCTTTTGCTGTGCCAAAAGCCCTTTTGTTTGAACTTGGGGAGGTGGTTGGCTAGATCCAGATACCAGTGAGAGTTTCTGACCCAGTGACATGACATTTCTAGCTTTCTCTGTAGTGTGTAGTGGCCATGTGGGTTGGGATTTGATTAGTGGAATGTGAATAGAAGAGATGGTCATCTCCAACTGTAAAGTAAGATACCTTTTGCATTTTACCCTTCTTCCTCACTTTCTCCACAGCCCATGCCATGAAACATAGATATAGTAGGCTTTCAACTTTGATCTTATAGATGAAGATAACTCTGAATATCCTGGAACAGAGTTCATTTAAGTTTATTTAAATATTACATTTATAATTATATAAATATACATAAATTATTACATAATAATTACATAAATTACATAAATAAAGGTAACTCTAGTGTTATCTTTTCTCTCGAAGCCATTCCTGATCTCCTAATTAGTGTTCATTTCTTTCTACTACTTTAAATGTTTTTTACTCTTTCAACAGGGATCATATGTTTGATCTCATATCCTCATATGGTATGCTAGGCACTCAGTAAGTATTTTGAAATGAATGACTACATTAACTAGAAAATAAGTGAATTTTTCAGGAGTTAAAGTTGTATATGTAGTAAAAAATACTAAGAAATGTTGATCTTGTAATGCAGTGAGTATAGCCTGGCTAGGAATTTAAGCTTTTGGTTTAAACTTAGTGCATTCGTTTTGTGCCTGTCTCTGGTGAGGTTCTAACCCAGCAGGCTAAATCAGTGGATTTGCTGTGCTGTATCACTTTCAACTTCCGTAACACAACTCATGCATCTGGGTATCTTAGTACTAATTACTGTCATTGCGTGACCATGACCTCATCTGACCTTTTAGCAAATGAGACCTTTGTGACTGCTACATAGTGAGAAGAGGTTCAGGTGGAAAAAAAGATGCAATTTTCTATTTGAAGCAGATGATTTGACTTGGACAACTATGTGACAACTGGCACCACTCGGGTTCTCTTGGCATCTTAAAAGAACATTTGAACCATATTTGAGATGCCATTGTGTTCCTACCTCCAAATGCCACAGTTGGAGATTCTCATTTGGTATGTTTGGTGTTAGGCCCAGAAATCTGTAATTTTAAATAGTTCCCCTGGCAACTCTGACAATTGCTTATTTAAGTTTGAGAACCACAGCATAGAAGGGTTAAGAAAATGGTTTGGGAATCAAGTAGACCAGAATTTCCTAATCTCTACAATGACTACCAGTTTAATTTTAAGAAAGTTGCGTAGTGTCTTTATACTTTAGTTTGATTATTTAAATGTCACTTGGGGCCCTCCCTGGTGGTGCAGCAGGTTAAAGCACAGCATGAGTTCAATTCCCACCTGCCCCAGAGGAGCCCACATGGTGTGGCAGACCTCTCCTGACCCGCCCGCTTCTCCCCTCAGCAGTGTACTTCGTAGATCTGCCTGTTCTGCTCCTCACTCTGTCTCTGGTGAAGCCTCTCGCCGCCCCTGCATCTCTGGCCTGTACCCCAGTTCTGTATGCATAAATAAATAAATCTTTAAAAAAAATGTCATTTGGACATAACAGCATCTACTTGAAAAGATTGCTATAAGGGTTAAATGAAATCATCTCTGTGTATGTGTGTGTGTGTAAGTGTAAGAGATGCTTACCTGCAAAATACAAAAATTCATTGTTCTCTTGCAGTATTCTGAAACAGTTAACATGTCATAATTTAGGAACTGGAAGCTGAGGTTGTAGATGACAGAAATGCAGACTACCCTACCGCTTTCCAAGGTAAACTGAGTTTTGGGGTGTGTGTGTGTTGTATTCATGGAGGAGTGAAGGAATGATGTGGAAACCCCATAGGGCAGGAGGCAGGGACTAGAAGTGCAAGAGGCATAATATCAGAAGGTTTTTACAGCCATTCCTTGTACCTTAGTTATTTGTTAGGAATTTACTCCCAAGGGTAATAGCGAATAATGAAAAGTTAAAATTTGAAGACAAACCAGTTTCCTGGCAAGTGCAAGGTTTCTTCTTGGTAAAGCACAAAGTCTCCAAGGCAAGAGAATAGATGGAATCACCTAGAGAGTCTTATTTACACAATGAAGTGACAACATAACTAAAAATTGGGTGTCAAAATGGGAATATATAATCTTTGGGTCTGTGTGTTAAGATTTTTATTTACATGGATTAAAAAGCTCACTGTAAATTTTAGATCACTCGAGTAATTTACAGTTAGTATTCATTCTAATTCATTTGGATAATTTTGACGTGTATTGAATCACATTTTGATTCAGTTTGCATTCAACTGTCTATTGAATTCTCAGATTGCCTGGAGAATAGGTGATGAGAGTCATGGTCTACAATTTTTTCACTTTAGAGACTCTTCACAGTGAGAGACATTTTCGTTATCAACAAAAAATCTGTTATCTGACCAAAATGGATGAAAAACTTCAATTCCTTCAATGCAGAAGCATAGTTAGAGCTGATATTTTAATTAGAAATAATATTGTTTAGTTAACATTAAAGGAAATCACTTTGGAGTCAGGTTACTCTTCATTGCTCTTTTAAGTATTTGAGAGTTTTAGTTATCCCAAACCCATGGAATTCTTAATAGAGTTGGTTTCTGTATAATTTCTACTCTTTGACTCATATGAGCTTAAATCTTGTCTAAAAGCCTATATGGATTTCAGGGATTTAAATAGGATTAAATGGCTATACAATTTTAAATAACTTCATCCAGTGAGCATGTTTACCTAAATATGTCATCAGACTTCTCAGTTTTATAGTTTGAAAGCCTGTTTAAGGCAGCTGACTCACACTGTGGACTGATAGAATGCAAACACATTCAGAATTCTCCTGGCAAGATTAATGCAACAAAACAGTGTTCTTTGAGCATTTAGAGGTGAAGTGTTTCATTTCTCTAATCTTCCTATCACTAAAAACTTTTCAAAATAACGATGCATATGTCTTCACAGTTGTTAGGTGCAGGGTAAGGTAGCAGAAGAAGAACACTGTATTTCATAACTCCTTGGCATTCTTAAAGGAAATAATTTTGAAAGATAATCTGGAAAACATTGGTTTCAACCTTTGGATTGATACATGTAATGCTCTGGAATTCCAAATAGTATCCCTACATGTACATGTAAATAAATCTTTTACTTTTGATCCATATGTCTGTCCAAATAGTTGCCCATATTCTCACTTAGCCCTTTTGCAAGAAAGTCAATAGGAAGAATATTTCTGCTCATTTTGCAGATGGAATCATCAACAGAGAACTCAAGTTATTTCTTTATGAAGAGTTTATTAAAGTTGTTCAACAAATTTGTAGCCAAACTCAAAAGATGCCCAAAGACAGTAATATTCTCTATGCAAGCCTAGCAGAGTTCTTTTCAAGGATGAAAGGGATAAAGACTGGAATGTCTTCCTGGAAGAACTAGGATACAGTTTAAATAAATAGATGCTCCTGTCCTCTCTCTTTTCCAGTTAGTTTTATCTCGTTGCCATTTGTTCACATGTTGCTGCAATTAGCTAATTTTAGGCCAGGCAAGAGGGATTATGATAGCATATTATACACCCACACCTCCCTTTCTGAGATTTAGGATGGAATGAGATTTATTTTTCCATTTACTTTAGCCAAATGGAAATGTACTTCTCCAATCCCATTTTACTGTAAAGTAAATATTTGTCAGGGAAATTGAACAGTAAATGGGTAACTTCTAATTTATATCTAAAGAATGTTACACATTCTTTTGTGTGTTTTGCTTATAATAGTACTTTTCTGGCCGTTTTTATATCATTATTATTAATTTTGTCATCACTGTTATTATGTTCTTTCCAAACGTGACTCTGGCATTAAACCAGCAACATTGGTTTATGCTGTAGACACTCTGACAAATTACCGATGGTGGATTGAGATTTTTCTATGTGACAGATTTATTAGAGTAAAGAAACACGAGGTAATGGCCCAGAGCAACTGCTCACCCTGGCCCTAACCTATTCATCCTCAACAAACTGCTCTTTTTTATCCCATTGTACCTATGGGTGCATTTCTCTTGCTGGAATACCTTTCCTGCTCATTTCTTCCTGATAAGAATATACTCAGCCTTTAAACTAACTGCTTCCAGCTGGGAAGCCTTCCCACTATTTCCATGCAGAACTAATTCATCCCACTTAACACGTTCCCTGCCTCCTTTGTACCCACAACTAATCGTTTCATGCTACTTAATGTTTTCTACTAGGACCTTGCAGACAGGATCCATATCTTACTCTTCCCACCCCACTTCCTAGCTTCATTAATAGTGTTAGCTGAAATGGATATCAAAGGAGTGAATGGGTGGATGACAGCCCCAGTTTTCTTTCAATTTATATAGAATAAAAAAGCCCTTTCTCTCTTTTTTCCTAGCAAATAATAATTTGCTTTTGGTCATAGGATATCTGAATTAACCTACTTCCAAGTCCCTATCCTTTGGTTTGTGAGTATAATCTGGCATTCAATGACTTTCCTTGTAAAGTTTTAGGACAATGACTAAACTTTTCTTTCCTAAAAAGCAAAACTTTGATTTTACTCCATCTTGTAGGGTTGTGCATTATTTTTTGTACCATCCTGCAGCATAATATCCCACCCCAAAATATGCCTCTTTGTAAGGGTGTCTCCATGAAATACTAGGAAGTGAAGGATGACTAAATTACAGAGAATCTTACCAGAGAAGAAAATCAATTTAAGTCTATATAACAAACAAGCTTCCTGGTAACTTTCATAACTGGTTACCCTACCCCCACTCCTGTACATACACCTTTCCTTTACCATTAAGATGATATTTGAGGGCCCTCCCTGGTGGCGCAGCGGGTTAAAGCACAGCACTGAGAATCTAAAGCCGCTTCCGCATGAGTTCGATTCCTGTCTGCCCCGGAGGTGACCACATGGCGCGGCAGACCTCTCCTGACCTGCCCGCTGCTCCCCTTAGCAGTGTACTTCGTCCATCTGCCTGTTCTGCTCCCCTCTCTGTCTCTGGTGAATCCTCTCACCCTCTGCATCTTTGGCCTGTACCCCAGTTCTGTATGAATAAATAAATAAATCTTTTAAAAAAAAAAAGATGATATTTGAAGTGTAACTTATTTTACCTTGAAGAGTTACACATTTCCCTAGCTACCTCCCTTGTATACATGCTGGTAAATGTCTGTCTGTTTTTCGTTTGTTAACCTGTCTTCTATTAAAGGGGTTCTCAGCCAAAAATGCAGAAAATTACAGAGAAAATTGTTTTCTCTTCACTTTCCTTACTGTTCTTCCCACTCGAGTTTATTTTGAAGCATCTTATCAGGTTTAAATATCATTTAAAGATATTTTCAGAATATCTCTAAAAGGTAAAGAATCTTTTTAGATATACAGTATCATTAAGGATATTAGGGAGTATCCTAAAATATTTCAGATAGTGTTCAAATTTCCTTCATTGTCTCCCCCCAACTCTTCCTCCTCCCATACACCTATTAAAGTGTCTTCAAATCAAGAGCCCAGTAAGATCATGCATTGCACTTCATGGAAATGTCTCAACTTATTTTAACTTAGAAATTTTCCCTCTGTTCTTTTTATACCCCTATGTTGTTATTTCATTTTTTTTAAATTTCATTAAATACATTCAAATTTGAAGAATTTTTTTTTTTTAAGATTTATTTATTTATGCATACAGAACTAGGATACAGGCCAGAGGCTCAGGGGCGGTGAGAGGCTTCACCAGAGACAGAGTGGGGAGCAGAACAGGCAGCTCTACGAAATACACTGCTGAGGGGAGCAGCGGGCGGGTCAGGAGAGGTCTGCCACGCCATGTGGTCACCTCCGGGGCAGGTGGGAATCGAACTCATGCGGAAGTGGCTTTAGCTTCTCAGTGCTGTGCTTTAACCCGCTGCGCACCAGGGAGGGCCTCAAATTTGAAGAATTTGAGTTTTAATATTGCATGCATTCAACAGTATAGAAACATAGAAATTCAGTTAGAAGCACAAGCAAAGAATAATTCATTTCTGTTCTTGCCATCAAAGAGCAGGGAACCTTTGAGGAAATGTCTTCACTAAAGTCAACATGTCCTTAAAGTTTCTGTAGCTGCTGCTGCTACCAGTTACACACCAGTAAGTGATTGTGTTTAGAGAAACTGATACATTTATTTATTCTATAAATATATTTATTCCATATAAAATATATTTTATTCTATAAATATATATTCTATAAATATACTATTTGCTGGGTACTGGAGATAGAGTGATAAACAAAAAGATGTCCCTCTGCTTTTGAGGATCTTATATATGCAATGTGAAGAGGAGATAAGAAGTCATAACAGGCCCTCCCTGGTGGCGCAACGGGTTAAAGCACTGCACTGAGAAGCTAAAGCCACTTCCGTATGAGTTCAATTCCTGCCTGCCCCGGAGGTGACCACATGGCGTGGCAGACCTCTCCTGACCCATCAGCTGCTCCCCTCAGCAGTGTATTTCGTCGATCTGCCTGTTCTGCTCTCCACTCTGTCTCTGGTGAAGCCTCTCACCGCACGTGAGCCTCTGGTCTGTACCCCACTTCTGTGTGTACAAATAAATAAATCCTTAAAAAAAAAAAAAGTCATAACAAATAGCCTTGTCCATGTCTCCTGTATTTCCAGTGTGTTTATCCTTCTGATTAAGCATATATCTTCTAATACAGATTCCAAAGAGTATTTGTCCACTTTTCTCACTACATATCCTATTCTCCAGAACTGAAATCCTCAGCTATGGCTTTTTCATTTTGGGGTCATTTGTGGCATAGGCCTATTAATTATTGCTGATATTGAAGTAATTTTTTAGAAATCTTAACTAGACAGTTTTTAAAGACTCATCATAAGGAAAACTATTATGTAGCCTGC